CCAGTTTCCAGTACTCCCAATCAAAGGATCAGTATTATGAACAAAGTATGATCATTCCTATATCAGTGGTGCAACCACATTTATCTCACAACAGGAATTCCTCTGAAAGTGAAAGTATGTAAGGATACCAGTACATATTGTTGGGGAGCCCACTTTTTGCTGGATTTTAAATACGGTCAGCAGCAAATAGAGATTAGGCAGCCTCAATATAAATGCCTTTCAGTTCTTCATGGACTAATTGTATAAAAAGTCAGTCTTGATTATGACAGACAACTCCATAGTGGTGACTTATCTCCACAAACAGAAGAGCACCAGATCATCTGACCTATGCATGCTGGTTTGGTAGTGACTTTATCAGTGTTGCCAACTTCAGATCAACATGCAAATCAGAAACATTCCAAGCAGACTCAATGTCTAGGCTGACATTTACATCAGAAAGGGTCATATTGCCCATACTGAATTGGATTTGTGCTCTTTGGGGGTGTCCCATGACTGACCTTTTGCAAAAAGGTTAAACCACAAAATTGGACAAACAAACAATAATGGACCAGACCTACACAGTGATTCAGATCATCTCTCTTAGATGAGAGAGAAATCCTGGGTGAGCAGTCCATTCGACCTAGGGTTATATGTCCTTAGGAAAATCCCACTAAGGCCTAGGGACATATCTTCAGGAAAATCCCAAAAAGGCCTAGAGATATATGTTCTCAGGAAAATCCCACTGAGATCTTGCCTGCTTACCCCTACAGAATCATCATGAACAATTCATGAACATGCATGAACCGTTCTTGAACGCTTCATGAACCTGTTCATGAACCATCCCAGAAAGTTCATCAAAAGGTTCATGAACCATCCCTGAAAGTTCATCAAAAGGTTCATGAACCATTCATCAATGTGCATGAACTGAATATGGTCAATTCTGTCAATGATGAAATTAAATGAATTCATGAACGTTCATGAACCATAACTTTACAAACTGTTCTTGAACGTTCATGAACTATTCATGAACTGAATTCATGAACAGTTCATAAAAGTTCACTAACTGGTTCATCATCATCCATCACAGTTAATAAACATATTCATGAACTATGATGAACAATGTTCCTCATTTTTCATGACTTCATGAACAGTTCCTAAAAAAATTTGATTGTGTGACAAACTTACAAATACCTATTTCATCCTGAATCATAAAATAACCTTAGATGTGGGGAGGTTTAAAAGAGTATAAAATGCAATATACTATCTTAAAAAACTATTTAATTTCAGATAAATTTTTTAATAGGCAACAAAGAACACGTAAACAGACAGTAAGTGATATTCATTTTTTATTCTTAGCAACACTTTCTGTATGTTTTGTAATTTTTTTTGAAAATTGTTCAAGAGATAATGGGACAGTTGTGTTCAATCAACTGCTGAAGCATATTCATCTGTCATTGTCATGGAGCTAATTCCACTGATGTTTCTCCTGAAGACATGGATCCCCACCCCAAAACTGACCTGTCAGATAACTCTTTTTTGTAAAGACAGACAGGGACTAATTTTAATTTAATGAAATTCCACCTATTGTCACTACTGAATGTCTCCATCTGCAACTTAAGCTGTTCATTTGATTACTGTATGAATCTTTAACATTGCTGCAGCAGTCACTTTTTAATGTCTATTCCATCTTGGCTGTAAGATCCTCCAGTTGTTAAATTTTCCTCCTTATCTTATAAACTTCATCCTCTAATAATTTTCCTTTTCTGCTATCTGATCTGAAAGAAAGATAAAGTTAATTACAGACAATCTATAATCAACATTGTTTTCAGCTTTTAGCACATTATTTCTGTACCCAACTTTACCAATCCAACTCAAAATTATTTAATCTCTTACACTTAATACACAACTTACTGCGCATTTACATTATTGGAGAAATTTGTTCACTAGTTGTATTTTAACTTAAGCTGACTTGCCATATGTATTATAAGTCACAGGAGTCAAATGTTTTTATAAAAATGTATCTCTCTGACGCCGGATGTTGCATATAGCAGCTTCAAGTTTGATCGCGATAGTAGCACATGTATTATGTACAGTTTGACACATTAATTAGTTTTTTGTTTTTGTTTTAATTTACCAAATTACATCAGATCATATAAATAGTGATGTCATGAAACTTAAAACGATACTGAACATATAAATTCATATTGCCGATACAGTACCGCGTATAGTATCAAGATCGAAAAAGGGGGTTGGGGTATAATGTTGCGTGATTTTCAAAAATTCAAAGAGAAAGTTTAAATTGGGTCTGACAAAAACCAGATATATTAGTTTGGTTAAAACTATATGATGACATAAAAACCAATAAATTATACATATAATTCCATTTAAAAATAATGAATGACGAAGAAAAAGAAACACTCACCATAATTTTGATGATCCCGCTGTGTACGCTTTTCCGCCTAATTTTGCTCTTATCAAGTCAATTCCTTCATATTCTTCATAATTCCTTCTCAGCACTTCTACGTACTTAAAAGAAATGGTATTGAAAATATTCTCATCTGTTAATTCCACGGGAATCCACGATTTTTGTTCGCGAGTGTTGCTTGTTCCAAACCCTTTGTGCTCAGCCGCTGAAATCACGCGCATATTTTACCTAATCCTATCATGTCTTTTTTCACAGTCTTCCAATCAAGATAATCATTGTTTACATATTTCGGTTTTTACTGCAACTTGGCAACCAGTTACAAAGTCAATAAAATATGCAGTTTATGACAGTACTGGACAAAATCGTTAGAACAAAGTCATTGAAAGCTTTTATAGCAAGTCAATTTTGTTCATGAGGGCCAGAAAAATATTTTTCCATATTAATCTAGAACTACTCAAGTACACAAGTATTGAATAAAAGATCTCTGAACATTTATACAGTATCATATAATTAAAAAAAATATTCACCTTTATTTATATTTCACTAATATTGTGAGAAGTTTGTATGATTAATTTTCATAAACATTTTATGAATATAATGATATAGAAATTTCATAAACAGTTTTAAGAAATATCTTAATGGTGCATCAAAGTACTTGAATTTTTCATGAAGCTAATTCATGACATTTCAAAAACTTTAAAGATATCATAATAGTTCATAAAAGTTCATCATTGTGTTCATGAACAAAAGTACATGATTCATCAAATTTCTTGAAGTGTTCATGAACTTAGGTGATGAACGTTCATGGCTATTAGTTTATGAACTCAAATGAACATTTCAAGTATGTTCATGAAGATTCATGATTGTTCATGAAGTCTGGAATTTGTTTTTGTAGGGGTAAACAAACCCAGTCATATATAGTAATTCATCCAAGCTTTGCTCTTGTTAGGAGGAACTTGTGTGGAACAAAATTCGGACAATCTGTTATGGAGAGATTCTCATGAGCTATAAGGGTACTGCTTTAAATGCTTATGAGGGAGACTCACTGGTTTTCAGGGTTGGTGTTTGCTTATGAGAGAGACTGGTTTTCAGAGATTGGTGTTTGCTTATGATGGAGACTTTTTAGGGACTGGTGTTTGCTTACGAGGGAGACTCACTGGTTTTCAGGGAATGGTGTTTGCTTATGAGGAAGACTCACTGGTTTTTAGGGATTGGTGTTTGCTTACAAGGGAGACTGGTTTTCAGGGAATGGTGTTTGCTTACAAGGGAAACTGGTTTTAAGGATTGGTGCTGATGCAACATTTTCCTTGAATGACTTGATCTGGCTAACTTTTTTTGTTTTGTTTCAGGAGAAAAAGTTTGTTACTGTTACTGTCAAGAGCTACAGGTTCATGATTTCTGACACATTCAGGTATCATGGTGGAGGAGATATAGGCCTCTACAAAGAGTTTCAAACTTGCTAGCCAACTTTTGTCTTAAATAGGCTCAGATCACACACAAGGTTTCTCAGGTGGAATCTATCATGGTGTATGACATTGTTTTCTCAGACAAGTTTGAGCCTTAATTACCACGAACACTTCTGAAGCTACAATCTAGCAAAATACACTTTTTGATATCCTTATCTTCAGTATACAGGGTGAGTTGCTTACACTTTTGATGGACCCAAAATTATTGTCAGATCAGATTGTTGCTTGGCCCTCATTAAAGAACCAGGTTTCATATCTAAGGACTTAGTGGAAGAGCAGAAGGTGATTATCAGCTCTCTATCAGTTTGGAGTAATCTGTGTGAGCCTTATGTTCAAACACGTACTGAAGTTTGATATGAGAGAACATTAAAGCCATCAGCAATGTGGCAGTCAACCTTTTTGAGTTTCTATCAGATTTAGCATCACAGAGATCTGAATTTAATTCAGTGGGTCCAGTTTTAGCAAATAAGATGAGCAACTGTCCCAAGTGCAAATGGGCTCCTCACAGGTTTGAGTTTAGTGCTTTTCTTGATTCACCTAGATCTTTTCTTGTTAAGAAACTGTAATTTGTTTCTCGTTATCTGTTATTGAAGTCCTCAGATAAACATGAATCACCAGTGTTGAGGCCACGATCATGAAGATACAGCTATGCTGGGCAGGGCTCCATCCAGGATGGAGGATCATCACCTGCCAAAGTCTGCACTGTATGGTGAGCTGTCCACTGGCCAAAGTGATAGAGGGGCACCTTGAAGGAGATATAAAGACTCCTTGAAAAAGACCCTCACTACCTGTGGCATCGACAACCACCAACTGGCATCACAAGCTGCTGACCCTGAAAGCTGTCGACATACAGTTCACTGGGCCACTGCCACTTTTGAACAAAACAGATGGGCCAGCTTGGAGGAAAAAAAAAGATGGTGAAGAAAGAACTGGGAACCATCGGTAGCACCTACCACAACTTAGACCTACCCCTGCAGCCTCTGTGGACAAATGTACCTGTCATGTATTGGGCTCATCACCCACCAGCACACCTGCAGTAGACGTGGACATCCCTCTTCCTAAATCTTTGCAAGCAAGGTCAAGCCAGCAATCTGTTATTGTATTGACATCACATGTTACATGACCATTGGGACCACAATGGTGGCCTAGTGTTTAGAGCCTCTGCCTCAGATGCAGGAGGTCATGGTTTGATCCCCAGCCATGTCATACCAAAGACTTATAAAAATGGTACTAGCTGCTACCTTGCGTGGTGCTCAGCATTAGGAGGTTAGCATTAGAACTGGTCAGAATGATGTCAGGATAAGTGCTAGATATCACTATAAACTGCCACACTGCTGGCATTGTTGTAATGTGACTAAGATTACTAAAGCTATGCTTAAGGTCTGAAAAAAATCACACAAAAACACACATGCAACCATTGATGATGTTAAGAGAGTGGTTATCCTTCAAGTAGGGACTCTCATAGGCAAATTTCATTTGATGGATGTCCATGTTAGTGGTTGGATGTTGGAGCATTCCCTTCTCAAATTACCAGTTGTAAAGTTAATGTCATTGGGAAATGGATTAAGCAGAGAAATATGGTTCTCCAAGAATACTTTATGTTAAGTCTTTTCACACCACTCTGCAATGTGTGCATCATCATTGATGTTTCACTCAAGTGTGAATTGGCAAACATTTAGGATACTGGTAGCGACTAGTATTGGAAAGTTAATTTTTGGAAGAGTATCTTCCCTTTGACTTTCTGGGAGAGCTGGATTCAAGAGGTAGTGGAGATTATATCATAATGATAATATGATTAGGTAAGTATTTTTGGAGAAACAGTTTGCAAAACAATTTACTTTTTAACAAATGCCTTCATCAATAGAAGAGGTTGTTTTTTTCATCAAGCATAGGGGAATGTGTATTTTCTTATTACTTGTGTATGTATAAAATTTCTTTTTCCAGTAGTCTTTCTATACTTTTTTCAACAGGTGAACATGTATTATATTGGAAAAGAGGGCCTAGATGAGGAAGCTTGGGCTGCCCTGTACTATACTGCAACCTTGTAAGTGCTTCTGTTCTTTCCTAATTTTAACCAATTTTGTCTAGAAAAAAACACTGAGGAGACATCTATTCTGATATTTTTCCCAATAAACACAGTTTTAATAGTAGGTTCTAAACCCGAGACCAGTCCTGGGACTTATGGACAGACAGTGTACCCAGGTCTCCTCCACTTTTCTGATGTCTACTATTGTCATCATCACCAAATATGTTAATGCTTTGTTGTCAAAGACTTTAAATACATCTAAACCTATCTGGCAACCACCTGCATATAGTGACATCAGCTTGTAAAGGTCACCAGTTCAATGCAACATGTGACCACTATTTCATGGCCAGTAGACCTACACATACTGCATATAGTGACTGATGGTTATTAGGGGTGAATGTCTACTTTATTTCATATCATAAAGTAACTTTTTAATTCTTTTTTTTGGTTTTTACAATAAAAAATGTGCCATTTCTTCCTTATAGTCTGTGTATCCATAGATCTAACTCTGTCTCTCCACTGGTATCTGTCTTTTTGCTGCATCACTGTCCATTAGGCCAAGCCATGTCATGGTCCTTTGTTCAACCTGTATTGTCTGATGACCATCAACATTTGCCATTTTCATCTTTTCAAAAGTAACTGCACAAGTTTCAACCAAATTTTACTGCCATGAAGTTTCAAGTTTACACATATATGCTGCCCATTAACTAACAAATTTTGTTAATTGTTTTCTTGTGTTTGCCTTATAGGTGTCAAAGAACCCTCTTTTTCATCACCATGCTGCTGTTAGGAACTGGCATTGGATTCAATAAGCATGTTCTTTCCTGCTGGAAGAAGATATTGTTTGCCATTGTAATACCTATTCATGTAAGTGGTTCATAGTACTTCTTGTACATGTAAAAGAGTTTCACATGATTAGCCAAGGAATCAATTTGTAATACTAGAGATGTGGATACATTTTCCCACAGTATCTTCATCATTATTAGCAAAGGTCTAAATGTCCTATGGCTTGTCTTGTTGAAAGCCAGTCTCATGCAGAAAAACTTTGTATCATTTGGGTCTGAGATTAAGTTCAAGGTCACAGTTCTTCTGAACAGCTGTCCCAAGAGAATTAGCTCTGTGGAAACACCTGATTAGAAATTTTTTATGGAAAATTATCCATTCATAGTCCACTCTTATGTGAGTTTTTTACATAATTATTTAAATTTTGCTTCTTAAATCTTTGCTGATGTCATTTTTGCAATTTTTATTCATTTTTAACAAGATTGAAAAAAAAATGTAGTTTTGCTCAATTTCCACTCAGTGTTGGAGGATGGGTGGGTGTGAAAAGAAATGGAAGAAGATAATGCAAGATCTAAAGAACTGTTTTTAATGCAAATAATTTATGTACACAGTTTCTCCTTCCTCTCCTAAACAGAAAGACATGTTGAGGAATGTATTATAATGGCTGACAGTGGGTGGATTTTCAGCTGTCATAGTACAAGCAGGTGTTTGGACCAATATTGTTTATTGGTACTTAAGCATGGAGATCCTTGCCAAATGGTGAAGTTGGGCTAGTTGTGGAATAAATCTTTCTAGAAAAGAGATTTGCCAAAAAAGTATGTAAAAGTCTTGGATGGGGGTCATCAAGCAAGATCATATTTTAAGTTACAGGAGACCTACTGTGTGTGTGTCTGTGTGCATGCATGTGTGTTAAGAAAGCAAAGTCAAGCAACCTGTAGGAATTCTTGGAGACACAATTGGACCTTGCAATGTCAGAGCTGAGAGTAACAAGGAAATTAGCAAAGACATTGAATAATACATTCTGCAATTGAAAGCAAATTACATAGGTTACAAGCAAATGCTTTACCATAGGTTTTTACTTCATCAGTTGTTCATTAATATGGATTCTTTTACAATTTATTCTAATTTTGTGAGAAATTTTATTATTGTAACTTTCATTAAAATATGTGGGGCACCACATTTTGTGAGAAATTGTAATAGTTTAACATACTTTATTTTGTTAGGGTACCAAATTTTTGGAGGTACCAAATAGTGTAACTTGCTACATTTTGTGAGGTACCAAATGTTTTGGGGTACCAAATTTAGTGAGAAAATCCAAAAGTTTAACTTCTTTTGATTTGTATCATACCAAATTTTGTGAATTTCAATGGCAGATGCAGGCAGTAAATTTAATTATTATATGCTCATTTGTATATCCATTAACTTTACATTGTCAGAAACGTTCAGTATTTAATGATATTGCACTCAGGTGTACTTCATATTGCATTCATGTACACAACACATATGACCTATATTAGAAACTACTTTGTAAACAAATCACTTATTTAGTAGACTCTTTATGTTTTGGTTGATGAACTAAAGTAGATGTTTCGTGGACTGCCACAATTACTAGCTGCTTTGCCATATTCTGCATTAACTTTTTTGATACAAAATAATGTTTTGGACTTAGTGACAGATGCCAGATTTCATAAAATTGCTGGGTCCATACAGATAATATGCAAGTGACAAGGCATAAACTGTCTTCTTTAGCTAATAAGATATACTTACAGTTTTACATCCTGAATTTCCTCAAATGTACTTTTTTAATTCTTCAAATCTGAATTACATGAGTGATCATGGGTTCTAAAGCTTGATTATGCATTTCAAAATTGTAATGTAATTTTGACTACATTCCAAGTGCAAATACATCCTTCTTACTGCACTCAAAATGAAATGATCATTATATCCCATAGCATCCTTTGATAAGTACAATTGAAAGAATTCATACATTATGATTTCAAACATTTAGTAAACACAACAGAAACACATTTGCAGTTGTCAACATGCTGTACCACTGCTAAAATCCAATGTCTTTCATATAAAATTAGCACAGATACAGCCAGTCCATGATCATGAAATTTCCTAGGATTGACAAAAATATCAAAATCTATTCATTCCAGACCAAATGAAATAGTTGTTGCACATTCATTCATAATATAATTCTAAATTTCAATTGTAAGTAGACCCAAATGCCATTTTCTTTCCAAAGTTCTGTCAAGCATACAACAAAGTTCAAATTTATCTGGGTGGAATTATGTGCACATAAATAAGGCTGTTCTTGTATACAGATGAATCTGCTCTTGTGTATTTAGTTGAAATAATATTCAGTTACTTTGTTTATTGTAGTGTATTTTTGTTTATATAATTAAACCTTAGGTATAATAAGAAAATGAGCATATAATTAAAAGGTTACTACATTTGTTTGGAAAAAATGAGCTCATTTTGTTGGATGAATAAACTGCATTCCCAAGGTCATGCAGTATATCATCCGAAAAACTCGTTGATATTTTCCCATACAAATGCAGTAACCTACAAATACCCAATGTAAAATATCTTTGCAATATATGTCTGTCATACACATTTTTAGTATGGAAATCAGCAGCAGTTTGCTAAACTTAGAATATTGATGCCCTCATATTTTATAGCTTATATCAAACAAAATTCCTTGCTAAAATGATTGGTTGAGTTCCTACAGTTTACAAAGCTTTTGTATCTTATAAACATTTCATAACTAACTGTGAATATGTTACTAGACTGATACTCTTAGTATGTTCAGTGACTTCAGTCAACATAAGATAGGTCAAAATTACTTGTTTATTTTTGACAGTAGCCATGATCTTTGGTGTTGGGTTGGTATCATGATCACAGTAGAGATAGAGTACATTCTCATGGGAGATACATGATAGAGAGTGGGCATAGACCACATGACAAGTTGGAATAAATTAGATAATCCCTATGCTGTGTTATTTGTGAGAGAAAATTTCAAGCTACATCTCATTTTCTTTATGTCAAACTTAACAGGCCATAGAAGCTCATTATGTCCCACACTGTTACATGGACCCACTTACTGCGAAGATATCTTTGCATACATTTTGTGTTCATCATAAGATGTCAAAAATAGACATTGTGTATTGAGAAGAAACTAGGAACTTGAAAGGAGATTTCACCTGGAAAATTTTGGGTTTTTGTTACTTTGGCCAAGTTGATTAAGTGGTTACTAAAGCACAGAATATTGGAACAGAACAGTCTCAACAGGAATGAAGAAACCTGTACTAAAAAGGAAATGGACACATGTAGGCAGTTGTTGACCTTGAATCTTTGTAATTTTCATTCTAATGGGCTTTATGTTAATAATTAT